TCCTGGAACTAAAAAGTTGGGATATTAACTTGTTTTTGCACTTTAGAATAGCATGAGAATCTCACTAATTTAGCATTCTGATACAAGAAACTTTAGAGCAGGTCGGAGAATAGAGAGGGGTTTTTCTTTCGAGGGGGTAGGGGAAGGAAGCCAATAAGAACCTTTGAAACAAATCGTCCTATCGCAAAATGCTTTCGTAGGGCTTAATTTTGTCAACACTGCATTGTCTTTTCGAGCTCTCTCTTTTTCCCCCTTTTTTTTTCTTTTTTTTTTTCTTTTTTTTAAAAAAAAGTAGAAGTTCCCTCCAGTTTTATTAGCCTCTTTACATGTCTCAAATTGCATGAATCTTTTCTGGCTGTTGGAAACCTGAATGCTTTTAGACCCAAATGGAAAATTTCTGAAATGCTGGATTATCTATTTTTAAACAAGCAGTTGACTTAAAACTTTCTGTGGCAACTTCTGGTTTGCTGACAGTTCCCAACGAGAGAAATTCTGCAAGTACACTGGGGTCCCTGGGACGCTGTCTTTGTGAAGGTTTGCTTGGGATGAAAAGGATATCGCAGCTTCAGCAGTGTTGAACTGTGTGTTGAAAAATGTGAATTACTGTTCTTGTATACTGTAATTGATTACATGGGCTGGGGGGGGGTGTCAAAGAACTTGACAGGTTGTGTTGATGCTCTTAGTTGAGTCTTGAAAAGTAAATATTAACGCTACAGAAATGCATGAGTTTCAATATATTTTTGTCTTTGTTTGCATTGTATAACTTTAACGAGTGAGTTTAAAATTATTTAATTTCCTTAGAAAAATAGCACCATTTGGAAAATAACTGGTGTTATGAAGAACATAAATGCACTGTTTTATTTTTATTTTATATAATTTAAATTGACTTTCCCACTGTCTTTAAGTTGAAACTGTTAAGCTGAATAAAAACTTAAGCTGCAAATTGATAACTTCGCTACATAACAAGGAAACTATAAATGTTTACAAACGGCTTAAAGATTTGCATGTGCAGTGTGCATTTATAACCAACTTCTAATTGCACAAAACCCATGCCAGCTCAAAGTTTAGGTGTACACATTTACCCAGTTGAGCATTTTTAGAATAACTACTGCACAAATTGACAATAGGTCATTTTCTCTCTCTCTCTTTTTTTTTTTTTTTTTTGCTCCCCTTTTTCTCCCCTTCTTTCTTACCACCCCCCCACCCCCCCCAAACTCATGAAAAGATTCTATGGACTGAAAAAGCCCCAGGCTGAAAGGACTGGACTGCCTTGATTGACATGGGGAAGGGGGTCAGTAGACTATGTGGATCGCGGCAGCAGAGGCTGCAGCCCGGTGTGCGGTTTAATGACCAGCACACAGGGCAAGAGCATTTTGCACAGTGTTTGTTTTCCTGTCTTGCACTTACAAATAAGGTCTATGGGAGTAGCATGGAAAACGTTTGCTGTTTTTCCCTTTTTTTTTTTTTTAAATTGCTTTTGTTTAAAATTTGATCGCCTTAACTACTGTAAACATAGCCTATTTTTGTGCTTAAGATACTGAATGGAAAACTCCATTGTGTGTTGCTGGACTGGTTTGGAAATATTTGGTCAAATGTGTGTTAATTTGGCTGTAATGGCATTTAAAGCAAACAAACAAACAAAAAAAAGCTGTGAAAATGGCCTTGGAGCATTATCTTTAGTTACTTGAAGAGTTTCTAGTTTTTTTTAAATACAGTTTATGTTAAAATAATTTTTATTAATTTAGAGAAGACAATCAATGTCTGTGAGAAAACGGACTTTCTTTGGATTTTCTTTTTGTGGTCATTGTGAGTGATTGCTTTTTCCTTTTATTAGTTTCACATTCTTCCTTTGTTCTGAAACTTAGACTGACATCTAGCTTTGACAATCATAGTATGTTTTATTTTCCTGAGGGGGGAATAACTTATAATGCTGTTTAGTTTTGTACTATTGGTGTGTTGGTGAATTTTTAAACTGTGTGCTAACTGCAATAAATTATATGAACTCAGAATTTCTTGTGCGTTGTTTTAATTGTGATTGTGTACTTCATAGCTCCTAAGTGTGTGTCATCCATAGCATCTCTATTTTTAATGTCATTTCTGTTCAGAACTTAACGAAATTATTAGAATGCCTTAAATCACTCAAACGGAAATGCGCAAACATTTTTGCTTTTAGTCATTTAAGAAGATACTAAATGCACATTTTAAAAGCGACACCCGTTTTCTATAACCTAAATCTGGAATGTTAAGGTAATTCTCTAGAAGTTTGTGAATCCATGAAACTTTTAAGTGGCAGCCCAGGTTTTTCAAAGTATGCTGCGCGGCTACTAATCCATACACCAGAAGTCATTTTCATGGGTAATTTTATCCTAAGTTGATTGGTCAGATCTCCTCTTCTGTGTTCTGGTTTAAGTGGAAAATTGAGGGAGACCGGATGTCTGAATTTGGAAGCCTGCTTGGCTAATGACTGGGATTCTAGGCAATTGAATTAGCAGGCATTTGATTGTTCAAGATTAGTTACATACATCCTTTTTGTTGCTGGGCAAACTCATAAAGTTCCCAGGTTTTAATTGTCAAGTTGTAACTTCAGTACTGCAACTGTTAGAAGAACTCCATTTCCTAATTTCTGCGATCGACCCAACTTTGTGATTGTCTCATTGGGCTTGTTAGGGTGAGAAACATCACCTACAGAGTTGGCAGAACACACAGGTGCTGACGGTACCATGGAGGAATTGTCACATACGGTGACCAGGGTCGGCACAGACCTGAGAGTTTGCAAATCCTGGCATCCGTAATCGCCCATAACTTCCAGCCTTAAAGATACAGGTTTATATTACTACCGTTGAAATTAAATAAAATACATTTATATTAAATGGCCTATGGTAAAGTTAATATTCTTCTATAGAAAAAAGGAAATAAAGTCCAGAGCTTGAAAGGGTACCATTTGTAAGCTCCCTGATGGTTTTGGATGGGAATGCAAAAAAGATTAATAAATAACAATCCATAACTTATGATTTTGAATTCTACATTTCCCTTTTTGTTGTTGAGACAGGATTTCTATTACAGGCAACTCACACTTGGTTTTATAACCAACCAAACATTGTTTCACATAAAAGAGGAAGGTACACTTGAGCTCCACGAAATAATTTTCTGAGCAGTGACAAGCATATAAAAGGGGGGGAGGGGTTTTGTTTTCAGTTCCTGTAGCAACTAGTCACAGTTATTTGAAAGCTTTCTGAAGATGTTGAGAGTTATAATTTAGTTCCACTTACTAGCTTCTAATTTAAAATGAGCATTATCTTAAACATAACTGGATATACTTATAAAAACAATGTTTTGACATGTAATTTGGAATAAAAAGTTCCTTGCAAAACTAGAACAGACTATTGATGACACAAATCACATTTGATAAGCGAAGGAATCAGTTGTGTATTTGCTACATTTTTAAAAGAAAGTAATTTGTTGTGTAATCAAGTTAGAAACCAAATTGACCCCACCTTTGACATCTGGCTGATACATAAGCATATGTTAAGTATGTGGTTTCATTCACTTTGGAGAACATCTGTTTCTTCTCGATCATTGATTATGCCCTAGATCACTGTGGGCCTAGCTGGTATTGTGTGCTAGATTTTGGATTTCCTTTCTAGTTAATTATGCCATCAGATTAATAGGTAAATCAAGTAGACTCATGATTATCTACAAACGGGTTATCGGAAGATTAGAAAGAGTTGGACAGTATTAAAATTATGTAATATCACATATTAAAATGGCTGAAATATTCATTTTCCAAGTAAATCTTTTGAGATATCATCAAAGAAAATAGTTGTTTTTTACCCAAGAAGTAACACTACTTACAAAATCTTGATTCTCCCAAGGTTTATCAATAGAATCAAAATAATGTAAAAATTAGACTTTCAAACTCCCATTGAATCTGATAAAGTCTTAAGAGCTCAACATTTCCTGTATCGTATGACTACCTTTTATTTCTATAGAGCTTAAGACAGTCTTTGATTTCTAATATAATGAGGGAAACTTACATACATACCTCTGGTTAGGAAACTCAGAATTAATTTTAGATTTAATTTGTAGATATTGATCTAAATTTTTGTTGTGATTGTTGCGATGTTTGAAATTAGCTGATAAGGTACAGTGAATCGAGTGTGAATTTTGAAATCCAGAACACAAGAGCTCAATCCTTTTCACTGAAGTCATTTGCCATTAAAATGCTGCCATTTTAAAAAGGAAAGCATTAGATTTATTTTGTAAAAGCAAATACCTCTTAGGCATTTCATTCTGGCTATAGTCCAAGTTTATTACACCGATAAGATTCTGTCCCTTATGTTAAAATTTTTCTACTTTTTGCCTACAGAATGCTATCCTGTGGTCCAAAATGTAGAACCACTTATCCCTTGACTTCAAGACAATTTAGTTACATAAAAAGAAACAGTTTATTTTTCCAATCCTCCCCACTCATCCTTAAGTTTTCTTAATATCATAAAAGGATAGCTAAAGTAGTCAGATCTTATTGATGTCAGTGGAGGTTTTGAGAAATATTAATTCAATTTCAGAGACATTTTAAAAATTAACTTTTGTATTTTTGCAAACTGACCCCCTAAAAATCTTTACTAATTAATTTTTGTAATTTCTTGTTAAAGAAGCCGAACTCTTTAAATTTAAAACTTTATAACAGGAAAGGGTGAGGTCATAGAAATGAAACAGTAGATTGAAAAGTTTTTCTTTTAAGCCCGAATACCTTATAAGTATCTGCTTATACACGTAATTGTTGAATTAATTATCCAGATAATTCAGGTTCGAAGATTTTTCCAAAAATATTCAAGCGTTTGAAAGAAATCAGACTTTTCTGAGAAGGATGATTTATCCAGTTAATTTCCCTGATTTAA